TGTGTTATTGTTGCAAGTTTGATCTATGGCGATATAACGAAAGTGGCTTTTAAAATGCAGAGATATCTCAAGACAATACTTCAATGTATAAACAGAAGTGTCAAGTAACCCTCATTGTGAATCGGCAACCTCAAGATTGGAAACTGTAGAAGCATCGTTATTTTGGATCTTTGTGTGAAGGTAAACGCTTATGAGATTTTCCTGGGGCAGCATAGAAAAACGATTATATATCACTTTCTTGATGCATTGGTTCATAAAATTTCACAAAACTCCGTTTGCCCCCAAGAAGACTGAAGGAAGTAGTGTATGAATTTAAAGACCTTCGTGAATACAAAAGTAAATTTTAATTCACAATTTGAGCTTTTTAATGGACTTCACCTTACTTCACGGGTCTTCACCAATGGTGGCAAGCTTTTGAACCGAATTGTTTGCCTTCCTTGTGTTCATGCATAACAAGCAGTTTATTGTGCTATTGAATGAATCCATCAAAGCCATGAAATGGGATTTTTGAGTGTGACAATTAAAACGGTTAATGATTTTAAATTTTCCTATGCATGCATTTGGGTCTATGCTGTCAATTAGGTAAACGGATAAATCCCGACATTTGGTAAGATTGTGGTACACGTCTATCGAGTGGATTTTGGAGGCAACTGTAGTCAAGTTTCTGTTACAGCATTAGCAAAAATGGCCAAGAAAACCCTTTTTACCACAATTTAAATGTCTTTGTCTGTGATCTGAAAAATTAAAAGTCATCTAAGATTTACCAATTTTGGTGGAACATTGATGTGAGACATGCCTAAATCGATATAAGGAACTAAATATGCAACACGTTTTTGTAATATCATTTTTTAAATGCATATTGACTTAGGGCTTTTCGATTCAGGCAATCAGTGTAAGGCATCGTTATATTACCACTTAGTTAAGAGCATCACGTGAGATAGTTTCTATTAGCATAAATAATTAAATAATCACCAGTTTCTGTAATATCCTAATTACTAAAATAAACACTTCATTGCAGTATACAATTTTTTTTTGAGTTTGGCTTCAATTACGCAGTGCACGCAAATGAATACCTCCAAATAAAAGTCTATCCGATGAACATGTACTTTCGTTTCTATGTAGCACAATTAATAAATTGACGCAGATGTGATTACACATGCATTAATGAGTTTCAAAGTGCTGATGGCGGGTTGTGGAATCATCGCTTCTACGCCGGTCACGTGCTCTCGTCGTCCGACATTCCGACTAGGCGACACCTCCCCCCGCACACTTTACTGTCTGCCATGCGAACAATGCGTCTTTGTGAAATTACGCATTGCGTCGTTCCTGGAGTAATAGACCCGGCTGGTGGCACTAAGTGCGGTGAATTCACCTATTTTCGGAGTTAGCGTGGCTTAAATTTACCTGCGGTAACAATGCTTTTGGTTTCTGTCGCCGTTTGATTTAGCATCTCGTCTTCTGCTTAAGTCATGAACTGAAGGCTCATTCAGACCAAAAGAAAGCAACAGAGTTTAATTACTCTCGGGTTGTAGATCGAAAAAGAAACATGATTTAATGTTTAAAGCCTTTGGAAAAAAAAGTTTTTTTTTTTTAACTTGATTGCCATATGTGATTTAACATACGTGTCCAAGACTTTTCAATATCCACTTTAAAAAAATTGGAATTTTTAAAAGTACAGTAAATCAACGCAATAGGTAAAGCTGCAGAATCTGTTTATCACATTTACCTGATCAATTGAAGGAACTGGTTAAAAATGAAGCACGATCGCCTGAATTGTCGATTCCTAATTTACTTGGTTGCCACATTCATCTCAAAGTTAACCTTCAATACACTAGAGTGCTCTTGGTAAAATTACATTAATTTATCATTAATAAGTCGGCGGGTACTTGTATCGGGATTTTTGAGGACTGCATTTGGGGAACAGGCATGGGAATTCGCACTGTCGATTAAGTATATATGTCGGCTATTGCGTATTTAATTATTTCTACTAAAACGAAGTTAGTAGTTAATTCGTGTCCATGACCAGTTATAGATCTTAGTTTGGAGAAGTTTGGTCTAAGTTACATACTACCTAGGTTCGGCTAATTAGTGATTATAAATTTTACCGTCTACAATGTAAAAAATGCGAAAAAACAGGACAAATTCGTTAAAATAAAAAATAACAAATATTCCTGACCAACACTTTACACGACTACTAAATTCATGATTTATAGACCATCATTTTATGCAGATTTCCATGCCCTTCTGCAGATTTTTGTAATTTTTTTAATTGTGTTAATATCTGCTGGTCCAAATGAAACATCATCGTTGCTAGACTGAAAATAATTTTTTCGGTAAATGGGCGATAGATTTTCTACATAAACAATACTTCAATAGGCAGTCGAGGCTTTGCTTGGAAATGTATATTCTAAAGCATCCAAGTACCTGAAAAAAAACAGTAATTGGGAACTAGTTTGTTGCATATACAAACATTGCTGATAATAAAAACGGATTTAATAGAGTTTATTTATAGCACTGTTCATGCTAGATCAGACTTACGTGATAAAATTTTGTTTCAATTTTTTGCTAAAACGAACTAAGACTAACACGCGATAAATTTCATATAAAGAGTGATAATACTCATGTGATTCATTAGGTTCCAAAGGTGGGTTGGACTTTAATTCTAAAAGGTTAAGCTTAAACTGCACAATGTATTTTAGGCTCTTTTATTCAAAAGTTTCTTTCAAAAGTGAATCCTACCCAAAAAAGTATATATTATAATATGTAATAAATTCTGAAGATTTTGTGTATTTGCATTTTCGCTAAGGTACATGGTTTAGTTATTTTAAAAACAACCAGTAGACGTTTAACACGTCTACAACTGCATCTACTTGGGCATTAGCATGTTCTACAATATGGCAAGACCTATAACCACTGAATTAGGGAACTTAGAAAGTGCAGAGTGAAAAATATATTATAGCATTGCCACTGCTTATGTTTTACAAATAGTGGAATTTAGATCTGACATTTATTAAGCATATTTCCTGAATGTTAAAACAAAATAATTAACAGGATCTGTTTTAAATTTTCTGTTTGTAAAAACAGATAAGGTCGAAGCCTTACCTTGAGAGTGAAGCTCGCTTTTCAAATAGCTGGATTCATGTTCTTATTGGTCTTTGGAAGCGTGTTTCAATGTCATCAGGGCAATTTTCAAGAAGTGTAAGAGAATTATCTAATATTTGTTAAAAGGCATAATTTTTACGTGTGATGCATATGGTAGATTTAATAATGGCATTTTATAGTATTACTTTTAATGTTAATCCAAATGTTTAGGTATCGCCTACTAGCGATCACATCTGAGTCATCCTGTAACATGCCTTAAAAGTGGTAAATGCTATCTTCATCTGATTCTCTCAAAATATTTACGAATAATGTACACGTATTGTATGGGATCTCGAATGTATCACTATCGTAGCGTGTGTTATGATTTCAATCATCATTTTATGAATGTAAATTTCTTTTAAGCTGCTTTTACTTAACCACGACGTGGTTATCGCTATTCTGATGCATTTGCTTTAATCTTTTTTTTATTGTTGCCTGTTTTGACGCCAACGCAATATCAGCTAGCTCTTTCTTGGCTGGTTTTATTTCACCATGTTTATTGCGAACATTGCAATTCTTGGGTTCGTCCTTTAATCTGACACCACTTAAGCCCTAATTTTGAGTGTTTTATTTCTAACGTGAAGGAAAGGAGTATAACTAATTTTATTTCAACTTTCCAGTTAAGTCTTTTATCTGAATTTTGGCGTTTTGAAATCTGATGTTGACTTCTTCGTATTTGTTAAATCAAAATTTTCGAATGCAACATGCCTTAATAATACAGGTCATATCAAGGTGTTTGCTTCGATTAAGTTCCTTAATTATGAAAAGCCAGTCTTTTGGGCATTGTGGTGCTATTATTCATATATTGTTGTGATAGAAATTAGCTGTTACATTCAGTTGAAAATCCGTAGTACTTGAGAGTATGTAGCCTCATGTGTTTCCCTTACTGTTTATAAGGCTTCTTATTTTAACCATAAAAAAAACTTGTTAGTGAGCGAACCCTTGCCTGTTCTGTCGCATGATGTAGTTACATTTGCATTGCAATGAAGCTGTAGTCAATCTCCATCACCAATCACTAGAGCTACCGCTAAAACGTTAGTGTCATCTTCACTCATGGTTTCTTCATTCAGTATATCTGTCCTGAAACCTCATTCACATCCTCGGCCACTGACAATGACCTAACCATATTGCTTTAGTTGCCACAATAATTTGACTATATTAGACAAAATTTAGGTTCTACATATTGCTCATCAAGATGTTTTGCAAATTTATATAATGATTTTGTGTGAAATCCGGGTAAAGAACAATGCAATAAATTTGCATCCAACACGCAGCGTGGTAGTAATACTAGTTCAAAACGGCGAATGTAGCATTTCAGACGTGCTATGCGCTTTTTGCATCCCTAATGTGGACTCAACCATGGTGAAAATTTCGTCTTTTTGGTAAGGCCCTGACTCAACTGCTCCAGTAATCAACTTTTGTGTTGTTTCTTTTGAAAGTGTCGGTTAATGTTGATTCACGGACTCAAGGAAGATCCACTAAATTCGCTTTCCCACTATGCCTCATCCTTATAGTTTAATGAACGTGGTTGCACCCTTTTTAATTGGGTACAAACATTCAGCTTTGCTTCTTAGCTTATATTTCTTATTTTTTAAAGGCAACTCCAAGGTATCTCAGCAGGACAAGTATTCATAGGAAAGGCTCATGAATTTCATCCAGAAATAAGTATATAATATAGTAGTTTAGGTTTTATCAAGTGAATATTGTGCCATCAGACACCATTTAAAAATAGTAGTGCGTCTACAGTTCTTAACTTGAGCTGTTAATTTGTTGAATTTTAATTTATTGGGCTGTTGTTATAGTTATGACTAAACATGTGGACATAGTATATACTGACTTGCACTGAGGTCCTGTTTTACATGCGACATGGTAGTGAATCCCGCGTCGTCGTTTTTTCAATTGTCTGCCTGGTAAGCAGCTTGTGGAGTGGTGTCAAAGGCAACTGAGTACTGACATTCCATTTTCCTAGATTTGTATGTTGATCCATTTGTCGGCTGTGGCCATACATTGTCTTCTCGAAACGCTCCTAATACGAGACCAAATTACGGTTATGCGACTTACATTAACGACGTTCTTTAACTTATTTTACCAACGATGTAACTTCGTCAGTACTCAGTGCGTATTGGTACCAGGGGGTGTCACTTTGCTTTGACATTGTCATCCGTGGTTTCAAGGAAAAATCTAGTGGCTCCTCTTGTAACATCGATCATCTTGAACATCTTTCATATGCACAAATTCGCAGTCGAAGTGTTGCTAAATCATCCGCCTTTTACTAATCTTGAGTATTTTACTCCATAATATCACAAACTGGATGGTGTATTATTTTTACAATGCATTTGTTGGATATACTTTTGACTAGCTTAATGTCGATCATACTTATCTAAACCTGAAATTTTCTGTTCGTTAGAACTCCTTACGCGTGTCTGCAAAAAATGGCTCCACCGGTCGAATTCAACTGATTCAGCACAGAGGCTGGCTAAGGAAACAGGGCGGTAAATTTCGCACCTGGAAACGACGTTTCTTTGTTCTACGTCAAGGATGTTTGGAGTACTACGCAGACTCGGAACAGATTCGCCTTCTTGGGTCTTTTAAAATCGGCCCCCCTGAAATAATGGAAGTGGTAACGTGTGAAACCGACGTCACTGCCGACGACAAAACCTTCAACTTCATTGTTAAAAAGTGTATGTTTCTTGAGCTATGCCGTCTCTCTCTCTCTCTCTGACTTACCTATCTTGAACTTTTACGTGTTGTTTTTTCATATATATTTCAACGCGAGAACATTTCACGTTTCGTGCGCAGCCATTGCCGGGTCATCTTCCTTTCCACAATAGAGGCGTGTAATTTTCGGTAATTTTCCATTTCGCCGAAAACTGAGCCTTGTAATTCCGTCTTTCAATGGGAACAATTATTAACAGCATAAAGATGACTCAAATTGAAGTTGCCAACGTGTTATTTACCGCTTTTATGCGTTCTTCGATCACTAATGTATAAACTTAATAAAGGAACTCAACGTCGTTCGTCAGCCAGCTCAGCTTACCATATATGACTATAACAATTCTTTTCAATTTCCCGTATTACTTGTACTTTTTCACAGCTGTGATGTGCTGGACCATTTTAGCTGCCTCCAGTCTAAGTTATGCCATTCGCGTCCCCTGACTTGAATTCATATTGATGAATAACATCCTAAAATGTTGTAGGTGTTCCAAATGCCTCGCCGTGTGAATTAACCGTGTTGATAGGACGTCATCAGGTGAAGAGCGCTGGCTTTTCTCATGTCTTCGACTTAGCCCCTTTCAAGGCGTATCGCTAGTTGATCAGCTTCATAGATGTATCATTGTTGAATTTTAACCTGAGATGTGATTATTCAATCCGTTAGTGTTTTATTTCTCACTCCGTATATCCGACCTTGCCTTTGTGGTCTCCATTTTTTGCTTTTTTGAGTTTGCACTGGTCATGCTTTTAACTGGAGTAAATTTTGTCAGACAAAACCGACCAGTAAGTTACGTCAATGCAAATTTTTTTGATGCTCGAAGCTCTCGTTTTAAGTCTCTCTCTCTGCTGTAAAAGCCCTAGTGTATCTTCTCAAATCTGCCCCATTCGAAAAGTACTCGTATTCTATCACGAACCTCCTTGCGATTCTGTCAAAAGTACGTTTACCCCTCAACTACTTACTATTCCTTACTGTGTTCTAATTAGCATGTCTTGCTCATGTAAACTGGCAGTTTTGCACCACACCTAGCTACCACAAATCACGCTTAAAAATCAAGAATAAACCTCAAAATCTTGTAGACGTGATGGTTTCCCAAGTCCCCGACTTCATTAGAGCTTCCGTGACAAATGTAATGGCAAAGAATCATGCATTACACAGCGACTTGTTTAAGCTAGTTTCTGTCTAGTTTCTCCGAGTGAGTATTGTACACTCCCTGATATGCGGTTTCAAAACACATTCTCGTACCATCATGCTGAAACTTGCCGCCCACACTTGTCTTTAGAAACCTTACCTTTTGCCTAACTCGGTTGTGGCCCAATTAGTTACATATTCTAAGGACACTAGTACAATTTAGCCGCATTTGACTTTCACTCACAAACAACAAGGTAGGGAGTGAAACTTTACCAGTCGGTGGCTTGTCTAGCTTGTGCCCGTGGATATAATTAGTCTGGCGTGTTTGTGAACATGAAAGTCAAGTCAAGTTTCGTGTCCTGGGGCTAAGCGTTATCTGATTTGGATTCCTCTTCGCCCATTTTTTCTGCTCGTTTTAACTCGTCTAGTAGCGCTCCCCGTTGTGACTTAATCCCAACTGATCTGCTGTATTTTGTTTAAATTCCACCAGTGTAAACCCAATTACTTTGGGCTTATCAAACTACTCTCAAAAAATACAAGACATGCAGCCATAGCGAAATGGTGGGTCGCAGAATGCAAACATTGAAAATAGCGCAAATAGATTGGTCCTTAAACAAGGAAGTGGAGTAGATTGGAGTGCGACCGAACGTTGATATGTCTAGCCAAATTGTTTGACGACGTGTAAGCAGAACTTACTTCGGTACTAGATTTGCTTCTTCACAGTTGCGCCACCAGGGCACGTGCACCCAACTGATTTCCGAATAGGCTCTTGTGACCTCACGTGATACGGTGTAGTTTCATTCCTGAAACTATCGATGCTTTGTAAACTCTGTGTTCCCACCACGTAACGCGTATTGTCATCGCCTAAGCGCCGCCACCTGCTATTTCCCACCGCTCTGTTGTTCGCGTGATTGTTCCCCAAATACCTGCGACGTCACATCCCCATCAATCATGCTGTAGCTCATACACATCCGCACACAAGGGTTCATCGAAGCTCTTAGACTGAGCAGGGTAGTTTTTCAGCCACTTGACCTCGCCACTTATACGATGTAGACACCGCACCAGTACTTGTAGCTGATTACCATAATTGATTCACGAACAGGGATGCCGCTTTCAGTCAAGTTTCCCAACACTCACATTGACTCTTGTAGCCCATTTCCTTCACGTTAGTAAGACCGAATTTCCTTGCAGTTCCCCTAGTGCAGGATTCTCCTCAGTTTCCTTGCAGATGCGCAAGGCCTCAGAAATCCCTCTTTTTCCCGATATGCTTTTTTTCTAAGAGGAGATTAGCTAACAACCGAGCTATTGCTGATCGCTGTCAATTAATCTTGCTAAATGAGTTCCTGCTTCGCATTGCACACGAACACTAAGACTTTGTTCTCCCACGAATTTTTCTTTCCCTCCATTTGGTTTGTTAAGTGAATACTCGCGTGGGGGGGATTCCCAGGGACGTAATTATGATTGGTGTTTTACTAGACCTGATGTTGCTCTGACTTCACGGACTGCACGTCGTGAACAAGTCTGAGGTGTTTTACTTTCCGTGTATTTACACTAAAACCGTAAAGTATGTGTGTGTGTGCAAGTAAACACAAAGTATGTAGTGCTTCGCGCAATAATTGCTCCGAAGAGTTTTGGAATTAATGGAAGGGAAATTAATTCGTTGCCATGAGTGTTTACTAGGGAGAAACGGCTTCCGCAACATAAACTCGGCCATCTCCGACGGGGTGTACTTAAATTGCTGTAATCCCCTATCTGCCCACCTCAATTTAGGTGAATTACTCCTCCTGCACTAAGCAACTTAGGTATAACAGACGGTAGCCCTTCTGGTGACATTGCATCCACCTCGTGACCACAGAGCAAATTCTATGGGCTGCTATAACCTTGCTCAGGATTCCTATTAGTGCCCAATTTCAGGTCTTAACTCCCGCCCCGTCAGTTTACTATCCATAAGCTTCATGCGGTTTGCTAAGTCGACCGGTGAAGTTATCTCTCAATTTCACCAATTTAAACTGCCTGGATAGCATTATGCTGAAAACCTCTATGTATCTTTGAATGTATAATTGAGTGTACACCGTATTCACCTTAGGTTTATTGTTTTGCTTCGCATAGCAGTGCCTTTTTATGCTTTTTAGCAAGAGCCTGGGGCTCCGATCAGAAGCAAGTGCTGATTTTGAGCGCGTCCTCGGCCAACGAGCGTAGGGAATGGATTCGTGCACTCAGGAAGCAGCTTTACTTAAAGCTAGGTGGTGGTAAGCCTGCCTTTTCATCGTCATCATCTTCTTCTAAAACTCGTTACTGTGTTGGTCTCTTATATTTATATGAACATCCAACCTCTGAGTGTTCAGCACTGACGAAAACACGTGATAACGTGGTTTGGCAGCAAACCTAATGAATGATGACCTAGCCTGTTGTCCTGAAAATTTCTGATTTTAGTCAATTTTATGACAAGCTAGCAAAATTTCTCCTGAATCCCATTTCCTCATTGTTGTTTTCAGCGATTATAAGTGACAAACACATCAAACTATGGGAGTGTCACACCCTAGCATTGCACAGCAACATTATAAAAATATGGATTCGGTTTTAGTCAAAACGCCAGAGGTGTCAGCGGTAACGGAATTTGCCATGCTAAATGGCATATGCAACTTAGTGCAGCTATGTACTGCAATTACTACCTTGTGTGGGTCATTCGAAGGGCCTATTTATCATATTTATAAGGTATCCGATTTGAATTTTCGAATTTGAGACAGGAGTTATTAACGGGAAAATATAGGTATCAAAGTGGAGATCTATTGTGCTCATAAAAGGCACTTGATTTCGACAGTCGTGCAATTTTGATATAATATCAATCAAAGATCACTAAACGAAAGTGTATCTTCACAAATCCGATGTGTTTCAGGGTTTTGTTAATGAGCTATCGCCACTTGAGTTACACGATACTGCGTTTGTGGACGCATTACAACCGGATTTTTCTTCAACTCGTAACCACACTAAACGTCCTTGAGTACGCACACTTCATATCTTTTTCAACTCACACAAACACCAAAATTGCAAGATGTTTTCTCCAAACGATCTTGAAGGTCGAAGCACCAGAATTTAACCCATATAGTCAATCTGAGAACCAGCAAAAATGCATTCAGGGTAAAGATTCTGCACGTTATTAAAGTAGACTGTAATTACAAGGGAGCAAAATCACTCGAATGTACTTGCTTTGCCAGTAATTATAAATGTGTTTTAATCGAATCCGTCAAATTTTAAAATGTGGAAGCAATTCTTTGATGTTTGGCGCGAATTTCGTTTACGTTTACATAAAAAATCCCTGCATTTTGTGGATTGATTTCGAAATTTCATAAGATGCAAACATCAATAACGTGCGACATTTGCATTATCGGGGTTATTAAAATCATGTGACAGAATGAATAGTATCTTTTGACTTCTTGGTGCCAAATCCTTACATTCGAGGAAATTTGACCTTTGGATGACTGTACTCGCTTACTACAGATGATTGTGCTTGAAAAAAATCTACAGAAAATGAATTATCGAGTCACACTGCGTAGAGAAAAGCAGAAGACCAGAGGTGATGGATACTCGCCTATTTATTCATCCGCCGTGCTCGTTGTGCCGTGTTTTGTGTGCTCGGCTGTACACAAAATCATGTGCGTGTAGCGGTCAATGACCAACAGTAAATGAATGGAAATTAAATGAATGATGCATTGTAGACAGCGTAACGCAGCTGCCATGAATGCAGCTTTTGCGTCCGTTTCCGGTAGATTCCTGTGTATTGGCCATCTCCCAACTTTTCACACTTTTGACTATGTGGGTTGAGGCTCAGGTGAAGTGGCGCCGAATGGATTAGTCTAAATTGTACATTAGTGAAAGACCAGGGCAGCGTCTTCGGCAAGTGTGCTTCGCGCAAATCGAAATGCATCAGTACATGCGCATCGATTTCAGCATTATTTCAATCACCTAAATTATTCCATCTCCAAGTAGGGCCTGGTTGTCAGCTGCTTTAATAACTTCCGTTTGATTTAATTGTTGAAACCCAGAAATAAAACTGTGTGTTGTACTTTATGCACAGCCCCATGGAACGAACCGCCAACTCGTGTCAATGGGACGCTTGGCTGCGGCACTTTTGACTGACCCCAAACCTTTTATTTCCTTCCTTCCGCTTAATTTCTAGTTACGATGCAATCCTAGTCTCAATCTTTAATTTTATCCCACACGGAATACTCTCGTCAAGACATCAATAGCAAGATCCTCGGATTTTGTCGGAACTACCCTTTTGTCACTATGCAACTTCCTGAACTCAAGCTGCTTTTCAAGCCACGAGCTCTGAACCAGTCAATTTATGAGCTTTTTCAAGCAGGCGACAAGATGATTAATTGTCACCCTGCGTCCGATTATGTGTTCGAGTCGGTCGTGACCCCTTCTTAAAGTCTACGTGCCTTTAAAAGCCTTCTTTTATGGTTTGTTAAAACCCTATCCTCTGTGGGTTCGTGCGACGTACGACTAAACATCATGGCGGTTTCATCCACAAAGGCCTTGCACGAAAACACTGGCGTGACCGGACTGGTCTCGACACCTCCTGATTGGCACTGTGGGTGGGTTTCCGGCAGTGTTTGCATTGAAGCGTGCGCACACAACACACACACACACACGAAAACAACGTTTCATTATTAATGTGCATCTTCGCGTGTGCTCTCGCGGTTGCTCACAACGCGCGTTTTGGCTCGAGTTTGCTCAAAACGCACTCTCCAACCTTGAACTCAAGCACGTAACCACCATCTTGGTTTGGTCAGATAAAGTGCACGATATCGCACTCCTGCAGCACCAGTCAGTCCCTATTGCTGCAGTCGTTTTCACTCCTGTTTGTGCTCAGTAAATCGCCCTGTTTGTATGCTAATTTTTCACGCAACGATCATCAAAGCTTGCCAGGTCCGCGAAATCTGCGAATTCTGGCTCCTTGATAGTAGCAGAGCTTATGAACCACGAAGAGCACTATGAATCGTGTCCGTTGAAAGTTATGGTTACTCTATTTCATTTCGACAATGGGCCAACACACTTCGCTGCTTGATCAGCGCATCTGTCTTTCAAATTTTGTTGCCAGTTTAAACTACTGATTAACGTCTTAGTAGTTTTTAGCAGGAGTTTAATTATTTTAATCTGCCAAATTATTGCTGCTTACTTCAAAATCGTATGCATGTATATCACAAGGTAAAAATATGGTTTGTTATTTCCCGAAATTCTATCATTTCTTGAAACCGGGTCCAGCAGCTACTGCTACTTTGCGGGGATACTAGCCTGTTGTGTAAGTGGCTCGCATAACAAGTCAAGAAACCGTTTTTAAGACATTTTATCGAGTAACCTTCACAGGTGTGCCAACCCCACAATTGCCGCTCGGTAACAAGTGTCGTATTCAATTTTCCTTCTGCCGTTGTTCTGGGCGCCACCACGCCTGGCCATGATTTCACCTACCTGTTCTACTTTGAGGTTGTTGGTCCCTTCTAAGTGACATATTATCATTTTTTGTTTTTTTCTTATTGTGAAATCACTGCGTCTGTGGTGTCAAGTCAAGTTCGTCTGCCTTTTCATAGCCTTGAGCCTGGATTCGGCAGATGTATTTCAGAACACTAAGTTGTTAGCACATAACATATAATTGCCTTAATACTCATTTTTCAGTGCTGGTCAGGGGAGGACTCATCGCATACTTGTGAAGAACTTTGCTGTCAACCGGGCTGATTTTGTAATTGACCAATCTGGTTACAATTAACTTTGAATGTTATCCGCTAATGCTTACGTGGATAATATAAAGACGATAATTATTAAGTTGCATTTTTTGACAGCGCACGAATTTACATTGAAGTTAAATATTGTTGCCATTAATATTCGGATACATTTGCTGAAAATGACGGTGCCTAATTACCTCGGGTCTGTGTGCTATAGCAAAGTAATGAGGAGTAAATAGCCCGCGTTTTTATCTGCCGTTTGCTATTGTCTTCAAAAGTGCGAATTCGACACAACAACGCTAGTCTACAGGGCTCCTAATAATTACCACGAATTGAAACAGCACGAGTGATTGCAAAGGCGGATTTGCATTCACATCACCTATGTAGTCCATCCGGTGGAATCGAGGCGTGTCATAAACTGTTAGGTATTGCTACAAAATATTTTGTTTTGGCAACAAGTCAGTAATAAGGGATTTAAGTTGTTTCAAATAGCTAATGGTGTTCTACAATGATTACGTCAGACCACATGTTGCTGTAGCAATTAGCCAGCAACTGTTAATGCTTGACCAAAATGTCTACGTGTATACACAATGTACTTTTGAACTTCACACTTGTTCGTAAATTCGCAGACCTTTCCTAGGTATATGAATTCACTAGAAATTACCTCCATCCAATTTTGAAGATGGTAACTATCAGCAATACTAAATCACATTTTTTTTAATTGCAGGGATCTTTGGAACACACTTATCCGAGGCGTTTGCCTTCACGTCGCCAGAGATGAAGTATGTGCCTCGGGTTGTTTTTCAAACAGCAGAATTTATCCGCCAAAATGGCTTGACAGCAGATGGCATTTTCCGGTACGTCGTGTTAAGTCTAGTGACTTTTCACCGTGCACCTTTTGTTTCGCATTTACTAAATATTCGGCACCTTAACCGTAGGCTTGTGCTAGAAAGGAATACATATGCACATGTACACCTAAAGAGATACTTTTAAATGGAATATCTCCGTATTATTAGCAGTCCTAGCGACGCTAAGTCCCGTTTCTGTGGCCTTTTCGTAAGTGTAGTCTTATCGAACACTTACACGTTAAACACGTTTTTCGTCGTTAGAGTATCGCTACTTTCTACTAATAGTAGGGAATGGCTACGCTTGTCTACTGTATCTATTGTTGGAGTAGATAGACGCATGTGGGAATTCGCTTAAAACATTGTACCCGGCAAAAATACGTGTAGCAGCACTGTTCTTTTTCTGGCATCGTCGAAGTGACTGGTGGTGCTAGAGGGCATCTACATTCTTTTGAAGACCTATTTAAAATCTACCTTCGTCTTGTTCTTTTCGTGTTAAGACTTCCTCAGTTAAACCGGTGTAAGTACGTTACAATTTGTTTTGTCAAGAACCGTTTGAACGTCAAATGAAAAATGATGAATGTGACTGTGAGCACCCTCTCATTTAACCGGAACTGGCATGACGTGGGGAGCACGCCTTTTGCGAATGTGACCAATCGTTTTTTTTCTTGTCTGCTTGGCTTTCGTTGTCTTTACTTGAACCTCAAACTTATTAATACTTTCATTCTACTTATTTACGATTGCCGATGCAATAAAGTATTGGAATACACGAAATCACAAGGGCGGTCAGTAACCTTCAAGGATTGTTTATAATGGCGGTGACTTTTCCCAGCATTTGGAGGAGTCGGGAAGATCCAAAAGGCAGACCACCTCCGATGTCGACCTCCCATGTGACACCTTTTGATATTCCCGTTCCTTGTCAGGGCCATTGTTATTGTTGTAATCGCGCTGTGATTTGCGAAACCGTGAGATACTAGAATATAACCTAGGGTTTGTGCAACCCACTCTAGTTAAATTGATTTTGTCCATGTATTTTGCAGTTATCCTCTGGCGGTCGTGCTTTATACCCCTAAACCGATGGACACGGAGTGGATTTATTTCTGCTAAATTCCTATAATAATATTAAATAACTACGAAGCTATTGAAGCTACTGAAGTGGGTTTGCAGTTGACGCAGCATTTGATGCAATGATGATCTGGTCACAAAAGTCATGTAATTGGTGACTTTGCAGACGAATTTTCTGTGACATGTAACATTGGTCTGTGTCTGTCACATTTGTGAGCATATTTCCAAATGCGAATCCTGCCTTGATTGGTTGGTTTCGTGTCGATGATCGCTTACGTTTTGTAAAATTTACACTCCTGAAATCAAATCACAGTATTCATGTTTTCACAGAAGTTTGGTTTTGGTAGAACTCCGACCTGTTACCCACTCACCGGCAGCCGAAGTTCGAGGGCTTTTTTTCGGTTTAACACAAATGTGTTCCCCCTATCTAGCATTTTAAGGCAAATTCTTCGAGTGCATCGTGTGGTTCTCCGCTTAGTGCATGGTTAATTTCAAATCGTTGTGGTGGCAGGAATTGCTTTCTTCTTACTTAAAAAATTTGCATCTGTTTATGCGTAAGGCGTTTGTTGAATCACAGCTGTTCGAATTTCTTCACGTTAACAAGACAACCGTTTGGGTAATTTAAGAAGCATTCTTTCGTTACACGTAGATTTGCAGTTCTGCGTACTTGGGTGGCTGTTGGTGCATGTCCTATTGCCATTTGGGTGGAAGCAACCTTCTAAGCGTTCAGAGGTTTCGTGATTTTTTCTTAAGACAATTTTAACCCTCTTAACTGTGCTTTTATATCGGTTGCACTCCCTTCAAGTTTCAACAGGCAAATCTGCTCGTATCCGTTTCCAAATATTTATCTCACTTGCTGAGGTACTTTTACTTATGTGCGTTGGCATTCACTGCATAATTGTGGGATCACATTAGGCTTCTAGTGTTGCAAAATGGCTTCTCCAGATACTGCCTCAGGGCTATACTATTAATAACCTTGGATTTTTCTGGTACCATACCGGTAGTACAAACAAAAGGCTTCGAATCACCACAATCAATTTATCTTACCGTACTTTGTTGCGAACGCTACTTTCATTATTTTCAAAAAAAAAAACTGTTTCACTGAGCCGTTTCCCACATTTTTTTCGCCTCTTTTTCTGCCGTGCAAAGACATCCTGTTCGGTCGCACAGTTCTGACACACGATTGGGTCCAACGCATGACCTAACAGTCAGGGCACTTTCACTAGAACTCGGTGATTGTGTAGCAAGTCGGACCCTACACACGGTGGGTTCGACGCCGTTGTGAAACGTGCGCATTTGCCTTGACAGGAAATGCGGGGCACGTCACGTGATCGACGAGCTGTGTGAGGCCTACGACACCGCCCAGCCCGATCCCATCCTCCGCGTCGGCGAACACGACGCCCACGCCGCCGCCGGAGTGCTGAAGCAGTACCTGCGGGAGTTGCCCGAACCCGTCATCCCCTACCGCCAGTACGATCGTCTCAAGGCCACTGGATACCTCATTGACGACGGACAGGACCTGAAGCCAATTATTGATCAGCTTGAATGTCTGCCTGCCCCGAACTACCGCCTTCTCCAATTCATTTGTCAGTTATTATCTGAGGTGCGTTGCATTGGAAAACCTGTTTATTTTTAAACTTTTAAAAGGGAGCCCTAAAATCTTTGACCCATGCTCGAGGTATAGATGTGATTTGGCGTTGTGTGAATAGCTGCAGTCATAATAAAGATTCAGTGGTTAAGAAACTTTGGAAGACAAAGAGGCATTTCTGTTGGGGAGCGAATCTACCCACCGGCATCTGAACCGTTCGCATTAACAGGAAGGCTGGAGCCACTACTGTGGGCTCTTCTGTTAGCAAAGCGCCATTCCACGACCACGGTCATGCTCTGAGCCACAGGCAAGTGAATTTGAACTCCCATTGTCCTCCTTCCACCTAGTCAGCTTCTCCTATTTTGGCCTTACAACAATCCGACAAGCAATGAGGCAGAGTCAAATAAATGCTGTGGGTTTATTAGACTGGCGTTGTTTACGAACGACGCCGAGGCGTGTGCGTAGATGAGTCACCGTGTCCTCACGTATGTGTCCGAGATACATGCACCCCCTGTGTCGCCGCTGTCAATTAAGCCGGTGTTTTGGTTTTCTTATAACATGGCTACTTGGATGCCAGTTTTATTTCCTTTCGGCCACTCTTTTGGCCGCAGTCACTAATGCCATAAACAGCGCTCGCATGGAGATGACCTCGACCTCACCCGCTGACACGACCATCCTGTCCCGCATTTCGCTTTTCCAGACTGCGGTAGGGATATCCTGTTTCGCCTCGTAATCTGCGCTACGTCGGTGGGATGCGAGGCATTGCTAGGACGGCGTTTGAAGTTAGTTCTCCACGTGATAGTGTTCCATTAGTTTAATTGATGCAGCAGCATTAGGATGTGCATTTTACGCCGATTGGGTAAAGCCTTTGCCCCACAGGGAAAAAGACGGCCGATAAATCGTCTTCGAGATGAAGCAATTCTGTTAGACTGCCTATCCGTGGGGTATGTACACTCCTGGTTGTAGGATTTCTTAATGTCACCTTTCGCACATAACTTCGAGACTCGCTTATACGGTGATTTCCTTTTGTCCTGTCAAAAATGCAAAACTATGCACGATTTTTTGGCTCTCTGCAACAGTAGTCGTTAATAATAGAATCGGTGTGATGCTGTCTTCGCAGACGTGGACAGTTGTTTCAGCCTTAAGTGGCGTCTGCGCAGTACAGTTAACCGAGGCGGTGTCGCTTCTGTAATGAAGCCCCAATCGCACTTACTAGGCCTGGGTGTGTGTTAATCAGGCACACCTCGGCATTCTGATCTGAAATCACGAACGCAGTAGTAACAAATTGGGCCATAAAATATGACCATTTTAGGAAGCTGCGTTTCGGTACAAACGAGCTCTCTTGCTTCGCGTCATTTGTGCATTTCTCTTCGAGTTAAGCGGTCGCGTTATCCTCTCGCTGGCTTCTTGCATATTCCTACATACTTACAATCGTGGATTTTGCACGTTTATTTCACACGCATTCTTTTTTCCCTTTCACTTTAGTTATTCTCGTAGATTTTCAATAAAGAGATTGCTGTCTATTGGATCGCTTTTTGCGTCAGCACAGCTTTAACGTTTGCAGCCGTTTCGACCCCAATCCACTTTGATTAACGATACCCCTGGCCTATTTTATGAAGTGGTCATTCAGTGGGAATTTTATTGCCTGCCGCCGCTCGTTGACCGCGGTCCCTAGTGCGGCGGAAGGCCGGTCGGCCCTGCGGTCAATTCCGCGTCCACCGCCTTCTCAGCATCACAATATTTGTTGGCATTTTGGTAGTTACAGCTAGTTTGGACGAATGCTTTCTCCGCACAGCTAAGTGTACGTACGCCCATCTCAAATTGAGTAGCAGGGACCCTAAATTGGACCAAGTTACCCGCAGCATTCATAAATTTCAAGTCGAATCTTGGCGGTAGGAGACCGGTTTGGCGAATGACTACAATCTGCTGTGTACATTGCATTTGTACTCCCGTCATTGGTCGATGAGTTTTCTGGAGCAATTGTATAGGGGTTTCGGAAACATAGCAGACTATTAAGATAGAGGCCTCCGAAGCAAATATTCTCAATCAATGCTCCTGTAATCCTGAAGTCTCACAAGCACGAATCAGTCAGTTTGCCCATTTTGGGGACTTATGATGTAGTAATTGGGAACTAATACATTTTCCGGCACCTTTTTTGCTGCCAAAGCTACAACTCGATGGGACCACTGGCTGCCTTCGCTGTTCCAAAGATTTTTGTTTGAGTCACCACTGCACTCCACTTCTCAATGAGATGTGAGGAGGCGTTTAAGCCGATATTGAACGTTGCTTCGAGGTTGTATATCTCCGGGGTGCTCCCCAGCCGAAATTTGAGCTCACGACTTTCGTGCCAGCGTCCATCACTTCACGAGCCACATTACTGCGCTAGTAGTTAACCACACGATTTCCTTACACAAGGGTTGTGTGAACTCAGGCGACCTGGATATCCTCCATCCTTCAAATTGCAATTTTTAGTTTACCCTTCAGGTTGTATTTGGAGTAATTGCTAAATTGCAAGAAATTTCTCTTAAACCATTACCGTGCCCTGAGATGCTTGACTGTTTCATTTAAAACACCCCATGAAGTGCGTGTGGTGGAATTGTTGCACCTTGGTCGACAAATAACCTTACCACACAGCAAGCAAAACTCGTCAGCAAGATGACATTTGTAAATGCTGCGTACATTTTCTTCACCAGGGGGCAGTAAATAGGTTATTCTCTATTGTAGGAGCTTGTTGGTTTATCTAGGATTTTCGTGATTTCTTTTTAACTTCGCCCCAGCTATTTACAGCCTCTTGAAAATTTATTCTGTGTCACTGATCAATCACAAATTGCCTTATGAAAACCCCGACGCCAATGCCTCCTATCCAAGGCGGCACACGCCCGAAAGAGCATGTTAGTGCAGCCGAGTAACGTAAACATTGACCGTGTTAAACGGGTCGCACGGAGGCCCAATTTCGGGCCTGTGAAGCACTTTCGACAAGTGATGCTTCATCTGCAGGCCTTCGACCGTGTACATTTCGATTGTGTGCGACTGGTGCATTGGCGTTTGTGTCGGTGGATTTGTTCAACAAGGCAACTAGAGGAATTGCATTTCCTGAGTCCGTTAACGCCGCACATTTACCACTGTGAGCGCGTCATCATTCTGACTGTGCAGCTTGCCCTCTGCCGGGGCTAGTCTTTCATCATGTGCTTCCGTCGCTTCTGCTCGTGCATATTTCACGCGTGTACAATTATCAACCAACCGATTCTGGTCTATTGATCGGCAACGCAGTTGCCTACTCGGCTGTTCACCGTGGATTAACTTATGTCAATCTGCAGTTTTACGGAACAGCAGGCTTTTTTCTGCTATACCTTGCCTCGACTCTGTTCCCTCGTATTTTCCCTTACTTCACTTCACTTTTGTGAACATTCGTTCATATTTTATGAAACAATTTATCAGATCCCAACCTAGGTATTAACCAACATTTGTACTTTGGTTTTTTCAATCAATGTGCAGGTCGTTGTGTCCGAGACTCAATTCGTGTTTCTTCCCACATTTTCATCCGCATTTGGCTGAAATTGATGGTTTCGTTTATCTATATTGAGTGTGGGCTTGTTTTTGCTCAAATTAGGTTTAGTGCTTCACAACTAGTTCAACCTAACCGACGTCAACGCATTTTCACCATCTACTTGAGTGTTTAACCCATGCCGTTTAGGTTGCCGGACACAGCGAGGAGAACCGAATGACAGTGGAAAATTTGGCCAGCATCTTTGCTCCCAATATCCTGCGTCATGCAGATTACGACCCAGACATTGAGATGTCAGCCACACCTGTGATCACCTTGACAATCGCCGGCTTCATTCGCCGCCACGAGGAGCTCTTCCGTTGTGAGCTCCTGCATTTCGCGCAGCTTCAGACCGCCGCCCTGGCCGCCAACTCGTCGGCTCAAGTGCTGCGGCAGAACTTCTCCGAGCCTCCCGAAGGCTCTCCCGGCCGGTCGCCGCATTCCACTTGGCACAAATCAGGTTCGTTCAAGCCTCTTCTTCGCATGCAACTAATTCACAACCATAATCCCTCAGTAGGAGTGTCCGTGGTACGCCATCTCGACCTGTGGCCACGTAAAACCGTCCTCAGTAGTGAGCCCGGATAGCTGTCACCCTAGCTTATACACTGTTCCCCATTACAAGCCAACATTTTACTTTGGAATCAGAAAAAAGGTAATCTCTGTAAGCCATTAGTAAGCACTGACTCATTATATAAATTTTTTTCGTCATATCTGTCTTATGAGAGTACTTCATGGTCTTGTCGACATGTTCAGAAACACTACTGAATGTGTTGGACAGCCCTGAGCTATCTACGCTCGTGCATCCCACTTCTACTGGCTTTTCTCGCCAATTTTGATACTAATGTCCTGCAATGTCTATCAGTCTCTCTAGTCAGCAGGAAAGTAAACTTACTTTACCATGTTTTACCACGCAATGTTTTGAGCACTATCATCTGTATTGCATTCAGTGAAATTTTCTTTGATTAACAGCACTTGCACACGTCTGTTCCAGCTAATTTGTGATTATTGGTCTCTATTTTATTTCATCTGTCTAAATACAGAGTTTCTTTTGCAACTTTTCCTTCTGCTAGAAGTCCTGTTCAAGTTAAACGGTAGAGAGTTCGATTTTCTCTTTGGCCGCACCTCACCAGTCTATAAGCGTTTGTAATTTGTGATGTTAATGCCCTTTTTGCTAAAATATTATTTATCTATTTTAATACCGGCGTTGTTTTACTGGTCTCGCTCACTCGCTGAGCGTCACGCTGATTGAGTGGCCCTTCGTGCCAGATCAACTCACTCAGTGGACTTCGGAGTGTGCATGTCTAAACAAGGGAATCCATGTTGTGCTTGACACGCACACTTTGCTATGCCCTTCAGGAAGCCTCACGGACTCGTCGAATTCGCATTCTCCGAATCAGATTTGGTTCCCCCATGAAAGATGTCGCTCCCGGATTCCGTCGCGCCAGCTAACCATCGCGACCTCGTCCCCAAGCCGCAGATTCAACGGCCGAACCTCTTCGGGGGAACGCGGCTTCTCCTCAGGTGGCTCTCATGCCAGTCTCCGGGTATGTGTGTGCGGTCTTTGATCATTACACCGCAGTCGGGTCTCTATGGCGTCCTAGAAGTCGAAATGCCATGTGTAGTAAAATTTCTCAGGCGCTGGGATCAAATGACTGAAATTACGCAGCATAAAATGTGTCCGATTGACTCCCTGAGACACTTGATTGCATTAATTAGGAGCATTTTCGGCAGGCGCAACTCCTCGTTGGTTCGATTCCCTCTCACGAGCCGTTCACTTTAGATACCGTCCTTTGGAGTGGAGTCCGTCAACTTGTCTGAATGAAGCCACTCGAGTCTGTTGAATACTGGGTCAATCATTATTGGACACAGTACGACGCATGCCTTTAGCTGACTTCACTATGCCACTTTTTTCTCCACTTGGTATATTCAGGTCCCCAAAAATTACTCACCTTCCCCCGTCGGCAGAAACGGTAGTGGCAACAGGGAGGGAAGTGGTGGACTGCTTGGGGAGGTAGAGTTGGCGGACGGCGCGGAGCAGCTGCGCTACTGGCGCTCCGTCGCGCTGGTGGCGCGCGCCGAAGCGGTGTGCGAGCGCGCCCGGTCGCAGGCGCTGACCTCGGAGCTGGCCCGCGCCCGCTGCGACCTCGACATGGCCGAGGCGGAGCTGGGGCTCCTGCGCAAGCGCCTCGCCCTCCTCGAGTCCACACTGGCGCGTCGCGACACCCCGACTGACGGCGCATCCGCCCTTCAATAGGACCTACGGTGGTACCTGCCACCGATTTGACCAGATTTTATATGTGCACATATCTTACACTTTGTCAAACTTCTCCATGCTTCCTTGAATCCGCTTTCAGTCACCCTTTCTTGCCGGGCTGTCGCACAATACTTGCGATGGTTTTCCGCCACTGTGTACGTTTCTGTGCTCGATTTTCCTGACTTGAGTCATTCACTTTGTTCATATTAACCTTATCGCTCCTACTAGTGCAGAATTTTTAAGGTCAAAATAACGTCAGTGCATTTGCCATCCTAACTTTGTAGTAAATTATTTGGAGCATTGGATAGGCCGTGAAATAAACTGAACCACAGTGGGAAGGCTTTTGACTGTGTAGTTCCAATCCACCAGGAGTGTCATGGTCGCTTGTTGTCAAATCACGATCTTCAACTAACACCTTTAGTTAATTTTTATACGCGATTGCCTCACTCCATCTCAGTTGTTAAAGGATAGATATCTCCTTGTAGTTTTTTTATTATCTTGTTTAACAATCGTAATAGCTGAAAGGTTGTATTTTGCGCATTTGTTTTGTGTCGTCAGTGATGAATATGTTGCATTTTAAATGGACGTCTTATTTGGACGTTTGGATTCTTAATATGTACTGACTAAATTTAAGTAGGCGCCTAAGGTTTCCCAAAATCTTGGTCGAATTTTGTTTTTCATTACTAATAATTTACCCCTGGTAAACTTTATTTGCAATTTAGCAGTCTTGGCTGTAGCCTGCTTGAAACCATGGGGTCGTCTGCTGATCCTCGAGGCCTCCATCTAATTGCGTTCCTTATTGGCGCAAAATGATCAGTAAATTTCATCTATACTTTTATTGCATGCAAGTTCGATATTGCTGCCCTATCCAGCCTTACTTATTCATTATAAAACGTCGGAAACTATTCAATGCCATTGGCCAAATTCGGTTTGACATCTTTTATTCGTTATAGCAAATCGTTTCTTCACACACAGTGCTCATCTCTTGTATTCTCCACTTTATGGCAATATGCAGCCTTGAAAAATGTGGCGTCATGTTCCCCTTGTCCAAATTCATTTCACCTCGGTGATCTAGATATAATTAGGAAGTCATACTAGCATGCTAATCACGTGACACCAGCCTTCCTGCCAGAACACATTAAAGCCGGACCCGGCAACGTCTTGCGTCAAATACGTGCTGAACCGAACTTACGCTAGCTTAGGCAAGTAAATCCAAGCGTGAATGCTGTCTTGCACGTCCTGTATGGATTAAGCTATGATGTTTCATGGTCGTGTGTGGCACATGCTGTTTCTTTGATTTGCCGCATGTGCATGGGTAGGCGTTGATATTGCTGCAGGGTGGTTAACCTCCTCTCCCCGTATGCTTCTGCCACGCATTGTAGCAGCAGCAGCACTTGTGGGGGCGGGCCGGGGTAACCAGTGTTGGCAGCTGGTGTGAGCGCGTGTGTGTGTGTGCGGACGCGCGCGTTGCATCTCGTGCTGCAGCTACCCACCGCGTGCACGCTCGCCCAACGCCTCCCGAACGCGCTGAGGGGCGCATCTCGGGAGACAAGTGAGCACAGCTGGATTTGGGGCAGCAGATGTTTGCCCATTACCTCCTCCGCACAACAACCTCTTGAGCATAGATGCACAGGAGCAGTAAATGCCTCTGGGTCAATTTCACAGACGTAGCTAAGTGCACGCGTGTGTGTGGGTTTGGACACCAAGGGTGCTCATTTCGCGAATCGATATTCATAGCCTGGTGGAACTGTGATGTCGTCTACTTTACGTTACTTCGGTCCGGCGTTTTGGTCATTTTGCGTATTTTACAATTATGTAAAGTCCGCTGCCAAATTAATGTTAGCTTAGATTTCAGCGTTGCCGAAACGGCGCAAGTGATTACTTAGTCCTACAAAGCCAACCGATGCACCGAGCAGCCTATACTTTTCGATGCACAACTTGTGAGGAATTTGAAATTACGGGTTTGGTGTCATTTGCGCAAAACTCGTGGGCCCTTTACTCGATCACTGCAGGTTCATAATGGAAGCTCCTATAACTGGCATGTTGGATTTGCGTGATCATTCCCAGCTAGTCAATGCGTCACTTTGTAATTTCACAATGCTCGTTATCATGCGAAACGCCTGGTGTAATTAGAAATCCATTTTTTGTCAGACGTGGCTTCTAGATACGAGATAAGCGGAAAAAGGTGCTAATAAGTCCTCTGCCACAGAAACTGAGATGGTGCATTGTGTCAGTGAAGTTGTTACGCTGATAAAAGGTGGCCGGGACTGTATTCTGTAAGGAAAGCTGAGGTAGTTGAGAGAAACGTGGATGGTTGGCCTGACTCTTCAGGTGGCTAATACGCTCTACCATTATTAATTAAACTGAACTATAGAAGTAGCTCACGTCTCACCCAGACACATTTTGCTGCCACAAATTTAAACGAGCGTTCCATGTCGGGTTTCCGAATCTGTGATATCGGAAAATCAGACCGATGTTTAAATATATCCTCATTTGCAATAGGCGACTTTGGAATGCTGGCTCTTTAATCAAGAGTTTGGCCAATACATTCCTGGCCTTCTGAGTCAAGTAGAAAAAGAAGGCAGTTTGTCTCTTCCATCCACCAAATGGCATTTAAAGTCGCACTTTTGGTGATTAGGCTGTCAAATAATCTTATAAGCAGATTCTGATAACCCCCCGACTTAGCCCGCCTGCGATGCTTAAGTCTGCAGTCAAGGCATTAGAGATTACGCGCCTGAACAAAGGTAATTGTAATTTTTGGTTGCCAACTAGAACACTAGCACATGTAAGAATATTTAGAAAACCCGTGTTGCTAGTTCAGGAAGTCGACTTCTTACCACGATCCAGGGTCCACCTTAAGCACCGTAAATCTCTAGATTTTACAAAGTCGTCCGAATCCAATCAATCAGCTGGAACAATTTGCGGCACTACTTGCCCGCTATTGAACTATGGGTAGATGAAATAGTTTAAATGAACTTGTGGATTTCAGTAAAATACTCGTGATGATTTCAAGTCAGTTGGAAATACCTTTGTAATCTTGATCATCACCGTAACTAACGATGTAAAGTAGTGGGGTAGATGAAGGGATCTGAGCAAATAAGAGCATATTCAATCACACGTTTACTTGGCTGTTTAGTGAAGTACACAAAACTACATTTTAGTGTGTTCTATTTCTGATAAGAACAATCGCTCGATCCGACTATCGCCAAAGTTTTAAAGCGTGAAATGTAGTGCCAAACTCAGGGATTTGATAAGCTAACTCAAACATAACTGATACAATTTGGAATCAGTAAAAATTTGATAACGTTGCAGGGCATCCATTTCCCTCCTTCACCTGGAAAATTCCTCTGTGCCCACCTACCGTAGATCTCCTGCAGGAGCCTCGAATGCCACGATATTTCGCCACGAGGAGTTCGTTGCCCCTATGCATCTTCTGGAGCAGGCAGGCAATTCGCTACTTAATCTAAACGAGATATTTACTTTTTAAGTTGTCACTACATTCATCCCAGGAGAAGGGGAAATGTTATTGATAAAATGTTCCATTTTCTGTTATTTAGAAGGAAACATAGAATTTCTTGCCTTAGAAGCAGCGTCAGTTTCCTACCCCATTAACTCTAGTACAGTTCAGGTGCATTGATAAATTTGGAGTTAATATGGCGTTATTTGCATCATTTTAGGTCCTCAGAAGCTTGCCTTATTGGCCATTCGGATTATTGTCTTGGTACAAATATTTTGTGTTGGTGTGTAGCTGCAAATTTCCAGCCATACATTACCTTGTTCTTAATTTATCCACCAAGAAGCAGATTTTCTAATTAGCCTTCCTTCACTGCGATGTTCAAACTTAGATGTTCCACATTGCCACATTATCTGGAATTTCAGGAAATGGAGTTAAGTTTAAATTTACTGATCACAGAAAATGTGGCCAATTGGTTTTCTGGTCACCAGGACCTAATTTTCCTTCCCGTGATGTAAGGGCTCAGGCCTGAATTGATGAAAGGAACTTACGAGATTCTCCGGTGCACAAACGCGGGTGGATAAAGCATCCAGTGTATTTACCTCCTCTTTTCAGTTGGCCGCTCATTCATGAACTTGTCCTTTGATGCTTACAATTTGGTTTTGTTTTGTGTTCTATTCCTTAACAAATAGCATGCAACGTCACACAGGTTAATAAATGAATTGATTTTTCCTTGTTGCGTTGTCTTCATCCAAAAAATGCAGTCAGCGCCAATTTTACTTCACCTTTGCAAAATTTTAGCACAGGACAGTCGACTTTAAAACAACAAACCTTTTAGTTATTCTGCCTTCAAGTTTATGCCACATTATCTAAAAATGTGCTTGGGCTATGCGACCACATTGAAAATTGATTGGTCGTTTCTCAATCGTACCGTTTGGGAGCTTTTAAAAAAATGCTCAGCGAACAAATCGCCAAGTAAGAGAGCAAACACACTAGGAATATTTTGCTGCTTTTTGATACTTCATAAGTATTGATTTTTATTGGTGGGCAAAATAACTACATCACATAAACTGTCTTTATTCCTTTCATAATATCTAGAACTGGACTCTGCAGATGTCTTTCAGGATCATTTTAAAAACTGAACGAAGTTATGGAACCAGCATTTGAAACCTAGTTTCGTGTAGCGTGTAGATTTTAGGTTAGAATAGATTTTCAAATTCCTTCAATCGTACCTTTAGTTAAATGTATATTTGTCTAATTAGATTTAAAATGCACGCTAAGTTGTTCGAACAGGCAATAAATGCAAGCAGACTTAATAAGCATGTATCGTTTTTACTTTAGCCTGTTAAATTTCCTCTTACTGAGGATAACCGAAATTTCAAATGTAAATCAAAGAAATCACACAAAAACACAAATTTTTTGCTTAGTCGTCTGGCTCATTTGCGTGACTGAAGACACAGATGCAAGATCTAAATATGAAAAATAAGATTTGTGCAGTAAAGGTAGCAGATATAGGATTGTATGTCGTGAAAAAGTATTGCAATTTTATACAGTGGTTCGAGTTCCTCAAAGTAATTAACAACTTTACCGAGCTGTGAATTTCGAATGTTTTGAAGTGGCATGCAGAATTGAAATATTGAGGAAAATGCATTTTCACTCGGTTCGTGTTATTACCGATTAGGCCTTCAAAGGGAATAATTGCACACAATGCTTCTCTAAGTTGTGATAGCTGATTATAGACATTTAATGAGGTGGTGATTGTAGACCTGAATGTAGGGCCGACCACTTCGGTACCTTCGGCTGCAACTTTGTCTAGAAGTTTGAAATGTTTCATACAAACAAATGTCCTGACTTAGTTGCGACTCATCTACACATTCCAATGTCGATTGCATGGAGGGTTAAAATGCGATCAAGAAGGTTACCATGAACGTTGGATGTGTGTAACCACAGAGTTCTAGAGCATTAAAGTACAAAAGAGGAATAACATTTGTTGAAGCAAAAAATCATTTTCACAAGAGGGACTTACTGAGGCAGTAAATTTAAGGTTTTCCGTCGCCAAGTGAAATCGCATTTAAACTGCTGAAGCCCTGGTGTGCGCCTCGAACCACATCGGCTCCAAGCAGTCTACATTGACAAGGTCCCACAGAGAGAGTGAAGAGACAGTAGGTAATGCTCCGTTCGACTGATTTTTTGCTACAGTAAGAGCAAGGTTGTGCAAAGCAGTACGTCGTCAGTTTATCTAGAATCGCTTAACATCGATCTCTGAACGAACGTAGTTACGTCAAGTGTAGTCATGTTAATTGACTAGATTCGTGCACGTCAAAGTTCTCTCACTGATTACCACAACTCCGTGACTTGTGACTTGCATAATCCTTGGTACGAAGCCCCCCTTGGTTAATGATACTTGAGAAACTCTTGTGGATTTTAAGCTTTGTGTTGCTATGATGTCATAGTTCCTGCAACCCATAAGACTTTCATGCTTTATGCTTAAAGTCGCGATCTGAGGGTCAGTACCCCTCATGTCTAAGGCCGGAAGTGTGTTCATGGTCAAATTGTCCCCACCTCGTAGGTGTGATTGCCCCCTGCCATTAGTCATCCGTGTTCCGACTCGGACTTTTCGCACCTCTTACATCACAGAACCTGTGGAATTAAGTCTGTCACGCTTCCTGTCCATCATTTTCGTATTATGTCGTGTAATTATACCCTTTGTCAATTTAATTCCGCTGGACGCTGGGAACTAACGCTAGAGATTAAACTATCAATTAGTTGAAAATTGAGGACAGGGACGAAGACTGGTTTAATTTATCGAAAAATAAAGTACATCGACTGGCCAACATCTCGTAATGCCCGATAAGGTACTTCGACGTAAAGTGATTGTCATGCGTAACTTTGACAATTGAGGAACAAATTGTGGGTGAAACATTAGGGATACAGGTTAAAAAAATGGAAGTAGGGAGTGCGATTTAGAAGCTGTTTGATTAATAGGTAATTTGTTTGGTATAGTGATCCCTTACTAAAATTTAAAAAAAAGTATAACCTTGATTAAAGCGTTCGGTTTCTGTGATAGGGATTCGTGATTTCACCCTCCATATGCTCGAATCTACGCGGTTTTAGGTGTTATTAAGCAAACTTGTGGGAAGTGAGCACGATTTGCTTTTAAGCTGCTCCATTTTGGTAAAAGTGCTTGCTCGGAGCTCTGTAGTTAGTAAATAACCCTGGTATTCCCCAATTTTTAGGCACGAATGGTAACCAACCATTCAAGCTTTATCAACTCAGCGAAAGTCAACAAGGTGGACGTCATTTGTAAAATCGAACAGTAATTTTGACTGGTCAGTATTCTAATTGTTGCTGCGTGTTTAGGATTATCACCTCATATAGTTAGCTCCAAAAGGTGTGGCAAAATTTTAGGCTGGGAATAAGAGTAAGGCGACTAAAATTTCCATTGGGGTAAATTTTTCCATCTCAATATTGGGTAAGTTCATTTACTGAACCAAACGCATGACTGAAACGTCTTAACGCCAATTTCGAAATTCTGCATTCTAGGTAAAATAGATTAATTAACTCCACTTGGCGTGTTTTATTCAAATTTACACTACCAGGCAATGGAATTCTCACCTTCATTCACTCGAATACCCATGCATATGATTTCTTGGAAGGCGCAACCATGTAATTACCACATTTAGATGTCAGCGTGGTAGTTATTGTATAGGTGACTGGGATTTTTGCACTTCAACCCGTAGTAGAAAGCCTTCCTGCTATCCTGCCAGATGTCCGCTTAAGCATTAGAAAGGCCTCAAAGCAGTAAATCAACAAATTGACGAGATATGCATCCAAAATTACGCAGTTATAATCCCTTGGCCCAAATGCATGTCTTGTAAATTTCTGATTTTGGTATCAGCCCCTATTAAAGTTATACTCTACTAATGCAACAGCGAAAGAACCAGAACTTTTTTCTATCTATCAAGTAGTAAAGCAACATTGTTGAAACACGTGAATTCTGCCATTTACTACAACTAGTCACCTGAGTTTCAAGTGGCTTTCTAGCTCTCCAGGTTGATTATCTTTTTCTCCAGTCATCTTCATCATTTACGAAGCCGAAACAAACAGCAATCTAGGACAAAGTGACTTGTCCCAAGTTCCGACGAACGCATTTCCTTTAGTTTATTCAGCCGGCCTGACGGAGTAATGATCAGTGATTTCAGTTTTTCTCCTCTTAACATTCGTGTCAAATCGCCAAAACGTGCAGAACATTTACTGATTCAGTATTTTCACAAATATTGTGGTTTATTCTACTGACAGTACTAACGAATATCCTCAAACATTCAAAATACCTAAAAAAACAGGGAATTGATATGTGTAAATAGCCATCCTACGAGTTGTCGAGTTCAAAAATGTCATAGCTCAAGAGATAGTGGGTTGGAGGCCGGGTTGCATTATCACGCAGAAACAGATTCACGTTCTTCACTCGAATTGAGCACATCGAATGCATTCGCCCGCTGGTCTAATGGCAGAGGACTTGCTCTAGACGGCCCGGTACCGTCGCCCGCGGACACATCTGCAGTTTCCATTAAAGAGCTGTCCCCAGTTGACTCCGACAGATTGTGGTGGTGTCGACGAGCAAAGTGACGGGCAAAGTCTTCCTGATTTGCCATGCATTGGCCACACAAGGCGCAGACAAAGTCGTCGCCAGCACCATGGAGTGAAGTGTGAATGTCGTACAGCGATGCGTGAACAAAGTAGATCCCACAAGGCAGACAGTGGTACAAGTTGCCAATATTCGACGGCGGATCAAAGTCCCCTTGTGTATTTTGAGTTGATTCCTCCAATTCCCCGCTCCCATTTAATCTAAAAAGTGGTAAAAGGTAAACTGTTAGGTATCTCGACGAAATATAGCATAAGGTTTTACGATATATTTTGTGCCGTAATTTTACTAAAAAATGCACAACGCTTCAAACCAAATTTTAGAAGTTTCATCATGCCAACAGTACTAGACCTAATGTATTGTTTTAACATAATGGTACGTGTTCCCATGAACATTAAAATTCCGGGTTTTTAATCAACTTTACAAGATATAACTTACAAGTCAAGTCTTGGCCTCTTGGAATAATCGGTAACTGAGATATTTCGTTTTCGTCGACTGCAAGCGCTCTCGTCAGAATTCTTTTCCTCAGTTCGCGAACTCGATAGGTCCTAGAGAATAAACACAGACTGCCTTTAGCTGATGGCACACAGGACAATCGAGTACTTGATCAGCGTCCGTGTACAATTAATTTGTGATATTGTGGAAGGATATTTACCTCTGGTTCTTCATGCTTTAGTTGTTCTTCATCAGTCTCTGAGTTAAACGTCTGAACTCCCATTGGTGGAAACGCTGATCCGTCGAAGAAAGGCAGTTGATGTGGTGGCAAATTTGCTAAAATCTTCTTAACAGCTTCCTCCACAATCGTGGGCAAAACTTCCTTCTTCTTGTCTTGCTCCGAGTTTCTAAGTAGCATTTGATCAAACAGATTTTGTTGAGTGTCATCCTTGTAGAACGGCGGCGGATTTAGCATTTTGCGTTGGCCATTGGATAAAGGTGTAGACATCAACAAGGATGGGGACTGAAAAAGCCCCGGAGCCAAAAGTGTTGAGGGGTGACCTGCAATTTCGCCTGGGGATCGCCCATTGGCCGCTTTGCAGGTTTGGAAGTGACGCTTGAGAGTGCCGTTCTGTGAAAACGCTTTCTTGCAATAATGGCACTTAAAGGGTCTTTCACCTATAAAAAAGGGTTTGCAAAAATTGGAAATGGCTCATGCAAACTCTGCTTAGGTTTACTCCACAGTCGCAATGTAGGAATGTGAATAAAAACATTACCAACACCGTTACTGTCATTTGATTTCACGTGATTATTTTCGGTTAGCAAGTTATCTTAACTCCAATTAAAGAAGCAAAAAAAATTAATACCAATATCTTCGCCAGTTCTGCGCAGGAATATACATCTTCATAACTTGACATTTCTAGCGTGCGAGGAGCGTAACGTGTCGGCGTTAAGACGGCTGTCATGTTATTATTCAATTTGCAATCTTAATTCCATCAGAACGCCGAAGCAGGGCCAAAAGGCATAATTCAGCCAAACTCATCCCACTTATGCGATTTTATGGAAAAACATCAGTCAACGCTACTGTCACCCAGTTGGAACTCCAACCAGAAAATAAATTGGCTGTCACTTTGTTGGAAAAATGTTTGGCAAGAAATGTGAATAAATGAACCACTCGTAATTAAAATCAACGATAATCTGCAGGTTAATAAAGGGGAAAAGTTTCATCACCCTACGTCAAGCATGAGATTAACTGTCTTGCAGTGAGTACACTGCCAGGCAAGACCGATCAATCCCGTCGAGAAATCCATCACAAACGCACCCATAAGTCTATGATACACCACAGTTGCTGTTATTGATTTTAGTATTTCCCTCTCATCCTAAACAGGTGTCAAAAAGAGTATAGCGACGAATTATGCGGCTTAAGCATCCCTACCTGAGTGCTTACGGTAATGAATTCGGAGAGCACTGGTGCATGTGAACCGCTTGTAGCAGACTGTGCACTGTTTTCCATCGTCAGAGATATGGGCTTCCATAGGCTTTGTTGGACTATCCTTCGAGGTCCTCGGGACGTTATGGCGAGTTGTGGTCGAATCACTGTTGCCACTCCTGGGACTAACACAACAACTGGGCGTTGACGAGGTCCCAGTCGGTGAGGTCATATTTGGATTGAATGGCAAACGACCGCCAGCTCCGTTGTCAAGAAAATTTGTAACTGACATTCCAAGGTCCTTCTGCTCACCCAACTTCATGAATGCGTTCAAAAGAGAGGGAGGGATCGGGAGGCTGGGCGGAAGGGGAGGCGATTTCGACTCTCCATTACCGGACATGGTGGCAAGAATGCTCATCATGGTGTCCACTGCGGGTATGCCACCTAAGGCTTTGCAGCCGCTTAGCATAGCACTAGCTCCAGCAATAAGAGATGGATTTCCTATCTTGCCATTTAGATCGTGTGGTCCATTAGTTAGTGGTGGTGGTGGTAGCTGCAATTGTGGTGGCACCAGAGGGTGCGGCATGTCGAGATTTGGGAGCAAGGTTGATGTGTTCTCTGAACTTTGATGCTGGATATCTTTCGAAGGTAAGAAAAGAGATGGGAGACCTATAAATATGGGGAAAATTCAACATGTATTTCATCATTACAGCTGCCTGTTCCGTGCATTTTTTAGCAATAACTAAATCATCCACAATGTAATCTCAATGCATGCTTTGCCGTTCATAATTTGGTAGGCATGTTGTAAAAGAAATCAAGACTAACCATTAAGTTGAAGGAAATTTTGTGCTAAAAGTTCTTGAAGATTGGGCTTGGTGTCAGAGCCTTCGGATGCATGAGGCGAGACAGATGACTCGGTGGGGAGGTTGGGCAGTGACGAGCTCGAACACACATTCATCTGACCGGGAGCCTTTAAATTGCTGCTCGCGTCTAGTGTGGGGAAGCCTTGCGTGCTGCTGCAGGCCTCATCTGCTAGTTGAAGTGCAATTTCTCGCAAGTGCATCCTGGATTCGTGTTCCTGCAGTTGGCTAGAATGAAGGAATTGGCAGGGGCAGAAGCGGCAAGGGTAACTGCGATTAGCGTTGACTCGCTTCAGGTGGGTGTTGCGGTGACGATTCAAGGAGCCTATTTAACAAAAAAAGAAATTAATAGTTTAGACAATGGAATGTGCTAATGGTGTTTAAGACTGAATATGGGTTTTAATACACCTAGGTGCACTTTGATTAACCCCAATAACTTAAAACAACAATGAGGAGCTTATGGGGAAGAAAAAATAATCCCATTTGTTGACTGGTCACGTGACGGAACATGGTCTGACAAAGTTAATGCCAGTGTAAATTTATGGCGTTGTGTTAGATCGAGGCGCTACAAACATTGATACATAGGAAAACGGCATTAAAGTGATTGCCTGTTCTCTTCAACGCATTCCAACAAGGTAAGAATGTCACAATTTGGCCATTTCATACATGTTATGAATTCCGTGTGTGAATCACTGGAAATCACACATTTGCCTTATTGCGCTTGTTGAAACACTTATTAGACTTAAATCAGTCGATCGTAGTTGCTAAAACCATGCGTCTCACTTAGCACTTGCATTTCATGTCTCTTGAAATAACAAATGAATTTACTACATATTAGAGCGGAGATAAATAACACGACCAATAAGCTAATGCTTCACTTAATTTTTAGATTTTAAGATGCATGAACTTTAGCCTATTGCATTACAATCATGTACAGTCCATCGCATCAAACACTGAAAACTCACCACTTTGATTGAAGGCTTTGTCACAAATCTCACAGATGTATGGCTTTTCTCCGGTATGAATTCTTTCGTGCACTTTGAGAACATTCATCAAGCCGAAAGCTTTGTTACAGTGCTTGCAGACAAATTTCCTCGCAAGCTTTTTTTGCTCCGAGGGTTTTTCCGAGCTTTTGGAGGCCTTCCCCTTTGGTTTCTTATCACAGCCTATGGCTTGGCTATCTGGTGATTGTGTTTCAACCGTAGATGCAATTTCCTCGTCTTCAAGTTCGTCAGCCAAAGGACCGCTGTAGTTTGACCCCTGTCCCTCTGAAACTGCAGCACCACAGAACATTGGACTCTCTGCTGATGTTTGGGAAATTACCGCAGTTGTGGAGTTCGGACGAACCATTGTAGGCTGGTCGAGACCATCCTGCGTGGTGTCTGGCTGCTGGTAGTTCGTAACGTCTCCGATCATCGCGACTGGGATTATGACGACTGCAACGAACTACTCATACTCATGGTGTGTGCGGCCGTGCGGCGAGGTGTGTACTGATTGATCATTGGTAGTGCCGACGCGCGCGTACGACGTGTCGGCCAATGCGCGCGTGAGGCGTCTTCTCCTAATCGTAACATGATACGTGCGTGAGCGCGTACGCGCATGACTGTTGCTCGAGTTATAAGGAAGGAAATTGCGGTAAGAACGAGTGAGGTGAATTGCATTTATAATTACATCTCACTCAATTCGCGAGAATTCAGCTCGCCATTTGTTATCAGGTCATGCTGCCCACAGCCATTATTCTTCTCGAGAGTGAAGAACAATAATAGTGGTTAAGCGAAATTAGCCTTTAAAGTGTCATTCATAATTGAGATAATGTTCTAATAACGCAAGAATCGATTGGACTTTCCAGTTAGGATATGCAGACTGCTCATCTCCAGCCTCAGCAACGCACGGAAGCACTGAAGTCTAGTGGGTTTAATCAAGCGCTTATATAACATTTACTGCCGTTGGGGACCTAATAAACCTACTCTACTAAGTTTTGTAGAACTTTGCATAGTTCCAGTGGCTTATGGCCACTTGTTGTCCTTCGTCAGAATTACCCTAACGTATGATTGTGAGCATGATGCAGTTTCGTTTCGGAGTCTTTACAGCCACTGAAACGGCCGAATTCGTTGTCTTGTTATGCCTAAATTGATGGATTACTAGAAAATAATGGTTGTCATTTTGTTCTGCAGTCGAAAGCGTTCTTAGTAAAATGGCCAACTTGGTGTACGGCCTATTAGAAGGCTTTGAATTCGTGACACTATATAGAAATCTAATATCTGGAAGCCATAGCTAACCTAACGTTTGAGTATTAAATTGCCTTCAAATTGAAGTTGCATTTCGGATTTAGGTGCTAAAGTAGACGTTTCCTTTTATGAAATTTACCGGTTTTTAAATCTCGTGTCTGAATTCATTAGATGAATCGCAACTAACCGAGGCAAACCACAGCAGTTACATTGTATTTACCAATTCTTTGCACTTTATTACTTGACTTGGCAGGCATTACAGGTTATTGATTAGTGTCAGTCAAAGAGATCTACAGAACTATTGGGCGTTAATAGATTCAACCTGGCCAACATAACACTAAACGGTCCATAAAGTTGGGTTATTCGACATTGTTGATCTTGTGTTAGTTTCACTTGGATTATCTTTCGTCATGCTGGCCGAGAACGCTGTTCATTCTCTTTGACAACTTTTCAGCTTGGCGAGAGGAAGGTGATGCAATCGCGCTACGCCGAAAATTACGTTGCGAAAATTAGTTTATTCACACTTACACAGGTCTCACTCTTTTCAGCCCAAAGCGTTGGTTCAGACTGTTAAATATTTACACATAGCACCTCTAAGCGATGACAGTTCTTGGGCCTCAATGCAATTAGCGTCCAGAATATTACACCTACTATAGTTTTGAGGTCAATTAACCCACTCTGGTTGAGCAGCAACAAAGTTTGTACAAGAAGACCAAAGAAGTCGACAGATTATCAGACTGATTTTTTGTTGGAAATAAGAGTGATTAAAATTTAAATAAACGTTATTTACTACTATCCACTCGTCTTGGGAATGGTCCTAATATCAACCGTCATTTCAAGCTTGTTTGCGGTTGATCAAGCGGCTTGCATGGTTTGTCTTCACTTCTACTTGCTGGCATCACTTCAGAGTTAATAAGTTTAAAGTGTTTGCATTCAGCTGAACGAATATTGCAAGTAATGTAAAGTGAGAATCAACTGTCGCGTCAATTGTGCTGCAAGACCCGTACACAAATCTGTACCTTTTGAACTCAATTTGGAGGCAGCAACGGTTCTTCTTTTCAAGTCAAATGTCATGTGACTGCCCGTCAAAACACATCACGACACGGTCTGACAAATTATGTTGAGTCAGTTTTGTACCCCTACAGGATCGCGTGTTACAGCGAACGACCCGGATTAGTTCCCCACCCTCCAAGTCCATCCATGCCTCCCCCCTTTGAGTTCGTGATGTTTGAGTGAACACAATTACTCACAGCCTACTTCGGCAGACGTGCAGTGGCCACGACCTCACCCAGTTGTGCGTGTGTGTGTCCACTCGAGCATCCCCGGGCGAAAACCCTTGCGCTCAGCTAGCTGTAATTACCTGGCTTGCGCGCACTGTTACTAAATCGGCCTTCATTGTGTAACATGGCATTAGTCATGCATTCAGTCGCATCGGCGCGTGAGAATTTGAAGCCGTCAGTCAGCGTGAAAGCAGACAAAAGCGCCACCCGCAGGAAATTTTGAGTAAGGAAAAATTCAGAAGATGCCGCAAATGAATTTGGTCGAAAACACTCAGAAATCTCATAAAAAATGTTATTTCCAACCAAGAAATGGCAAACGCTTTAAGACATGCAATTTCATAAAACGAAAATGCGAGAATAACAGGAGAGAGTAATCGATACATTAATGCGTGGCTCAAAGCAAAAAGCTATACATAATGGCTATGGTTGATTGCGCTAAGATGGAATATAAGACAACGGAAATTGGAGTTGCATTTGCTTTTGATCACTAGATAGAAATGATAGATAGTTTTGAGGGTATCTATTTGCACCGGAGAATACATAGTTGCCGAAACCAGGGAGAAAGCAACTGACAAACACAGTTAACGTACACTGACGTTGAACTTTATGAGATCAAAAGCTGATGGATAGGTCAACGAAGTATTTGGATATATTTTAAGTTTGAGTAGTGCTCAATTAAGATGGGAAGTGCTAGAAAATGTTTCACACGTAATCCTGATTTTCGCTCATCAGTGATTACCGTTTACAGGTAAAAAAAGTACCTTGGCTTGTATTCAACGTGCATTTGCGCCTTATTTTCGAAATAAATGCTGGCTTCCTACTCACGTCACGGATGTTTGGGAAATCCCAGCATCACACATGAGTGAGGTGACATATCCAGTGGGATCGCAACGCTGCCCCATGAACTAACATTCAAATTGTGTTAGCTAGATATAGCACAACTGCGTGATATCATTTTACTATGGTATTGCAAACCTCAGCTTGCACGCATCAAGTCACAGCTATCCATCCTGCGGTATTTAGCAAGCTCAGACCAAACGCTATTAAGACTTTGGTAACAGCTTTGACACAAAGATTAGAACAAAAGGAGGTGAAGCTTAAAATGTACTTTTAAGCAACTTCGTTTTCCCTGAATTACGGCAGCATCATTACTGATGTCTGCCTAGCAGCTTTATGTCCACTTTGCGGCTCAATGGAGGAATTCGTAATGGGATTGCTGAGAAGGTAGACTCACCCACAAAATGGTATTCCATCTGGCCAAACATTTTCCAACTTGCATGGTACTAACGAAATCCTTACAAAAACAAGTCGAAAATTTAGATGACCCAGAACTGCTTTTAAAGTGGCATTCTGGAAAGGAGGCATACCCTTCACAAATTGCTCTTTGTTTATTACATTTATAAGCGATTGGCTAAAAGGTGAGCGTGTCTGCATTGCAAAATTTACTGCATCATTTACTTCTTCCTGTCCTTACCCACATGGCATTTTATAAGAGGGTTTGGCAGGAACAAGGAAACTAGTGCTATGTGAGCCACTACACTAACCCTTCCACTTACCCTGCGGGCTTACTCTGGTTGAAATTTGGGCTGATCGAGTATTGCGGGAAAAACCAAGCGGGAATTTCGGTATGTGACCTCACTTTATCTGAAACAAGTGGACACGGCGCACAGAGATACTGACTTCGTTTCTAATTGCTTATCGTGTGCACCTGCGAAACACTGAAAAATATGCATTGGTCAAAGTAATTGTCTTAAGAAATGAGCTTTACAGAGTGTGCACGACTTTGCTACGAAAGCGCCCAAGGCTGATTAACAAATATTCAATCGTTCCCAATTCAACTAACTCAAGACCTCGCGTAGCACCTGAACCACATGTGAAAGGACCAAGAAGTCGGATTAGGTAGACTTTTCTCGTCCGTTACATTCCTCTAATGATGTCCCTTCAGGCTGCTACCAAATCAGGTCAATAAAGCAAATAATATGCTGCAAAAGCATGGTGTACCAGCCACCTTCACTGGAAATGCAGTGGTTTTATCTTAAATTACCCTTTTATGCAAAGAGTGATCGAGTTTATGCTAGGGAGAAGAGAAACAGTCGTCATTATTTGGGAGAATTATTTCGCGATTGTGCATGCATTGTTGTCAAATAACACAACATTTTACGTGACGATTTAAATCGGCTAATTAGTGTCTCAAATATGTAATAACACGTCGTATTAACTTAAGATGACTTTCAATTCCGTGATCGAGGAGTTCAGCTTAGTTTCTGTCATTTCCTTGAATAGATCTCACGGCCGTCAAAGAAAACGTATTTTAGTATCACGACTCAGGTCACGCTCATTTTAGTAGGAAATGAATGATCAGGTTAAAACAGATAAGACAGTTAACCAGTTAGAGACCCTTTTAGAGAGTTTCGAAAAGACTAAACATGACTGATACAAAAAAACTGCTAGTTTAAGTGACACAATCATTGGAGCAAATGGTGCCGCCGTTCATGTGGGTAGTTGGTTGGGGTAATAGGATCTGTGTGGCTTTCTTGAGGCGCCTGACACTCTCGCAGGAGTGGGACGGGCAAGCAATTGCTAACCTGTTGTCTTACGATTGCCGACATTTCCTGTCTTAAAACAAGTTCAAGGTCACTTACGCAATGAGAAACCGTGAGTCACACATGTTTATTATTGCAGAAATGGACTAGGGAAATGCAAAGGGGCACAAAATATGAATTTGTCGCATTAGCACACCTAATGTAGGAGATACTCAAAGCACACTGATTTAAAATTATGGTTCCCATGATGTAAGGGGCATCAATATTTCGCCGCTTTAGACCACATATACTTTTCTGCTTCCTGCTCGGACTTTTGCCAGAAAAAAATCATTCGATGGCAACAAGCGACAACCCTACTACGAATT